TTGATAATCACGCAGAGATACGGGTTTTGCATGTTTTTAGCTTTTGTTCAGATATTAGTCGAGTTTATGCTACAATACGTTATGAGTATAAATCTTCAGACTAGTGAAGCCAGATATCTTTTTATCTAGTAGCTAAATCGGCAAGTTTAAGATTGATAAATTTGGACGCTTTGTGGGCACTCTGTGGGCACAGTATATAWGAATTCACTTTCGAGAGAAAGGAGTTCTTATAGAAATCTCATGGGTTTCTGACCAAGTCATTCCTGTAATATTCTTAAGCAAAGCTTCCATACCCATCTTTTAATATTAAAGGTTTATTTCATATTTTAACGCTTTGCACCAATCAAAACTCAAATATTTTCTCAACYYGRAACATTGTTCAAGAAGTTCATGAAAGTCTCTGATTCTCAGTAAGTCCGGTCCCTGTGGAAACGATCTTGKTAYTATRCCACTTTATTACTTGAAGCGATCTTAGTGTCAACGTGCACTTGCACCGCCACTTTGGGGATTTTATGCCCATTGTGTGCACACTTACGATTCTAGCACATCAATACATACGTACAAATTTATTTTGAGCATTATATGGTTTGTCTGGTGATGTGTACGTACACATGATGTTTCAGTTTGCATACATGATACAATATATTTTACATGTATGTTATTTTATGATCAGTTGCATGCTATGTGTTTATTTTATTTTTAAATAACTCCAGCATGTTATTTCATATGAAAGTTTTATAATCGGTTTTTATAGGTCGATATTTAACCAAAAAGTCACACGACAAGTGGCACGACCCTTTAATGGATGTCCAAGACAAGTACAGGTCTATCCATACCTAACCAGACAGTTCATGAGATCTCTTTGCTTTCAGTTTTTGCATGTTTTTAGAAAATGCAAACTATTTGGTAAAAGTTTACAAGTTGATATGTATGATGTGAAATGATTTTTATTCATGCAAACCATGAAATCACCGAGTTGTATAAGCTAACTATAGTTTGCATCTCAGGGACAAAAGGTTTCAGGTTAGACAAAGGAGAATGATACACATATAGACTTTCTAGTCCATTTAAGTTAAATGTTTATGTTCAGACATCTATGACAGATAAATTTATAACACAATCCGGTATGGAACGAGTTAGCATTTAAGTTACATATTTGTTGTTTTAAAGTCTTCCGCTATAAATGGTTTTAATTTAGCCGTTATATTGGAGTATTTCTTGTGGAATTTGTTTTAGATTATGAGGATGTTACATAATTTAATTTACTTCCATCTTTTATTTAATTGTAGTAATGTAGTCTTTAGTTTATCATAATATTTATTTTACCATCATTTTAAATTTATTAGTCGTAAATGTTTATTTTCTTTACTTTAAAAATGCAACGATCTTGAGTAATGATAGGCTAACAACCTTAATTTGAGTGTGGGGTGAAGTGAAGATTAAAACCGATTTTGATGGTGGAAATTGTTAATTAATAATTCAAGGATATATTTATATAAAATCTTTTCTTGACAAGTTGATCATTATTGAAAATGTTAACTTGTGACAGACTTGGAGATAAACCGTCATGAACATGCCAACTTGAATGATATGAAGGTATACTCGAAAAAGTTATTTAGATACGAAGAAACTTGTTTCTGTTTCTATAGCTTATACAAGGGATAGATTGTGTTATTGCCTAGTGTTTACTCTATTTTGGAAACATTATAGTTAGTCTATGGATACGAACCTTTCTCAACCTCGAAAGAGTGCATTAGAAAAGCTAATGGTTGGATAAGTTAATTACAACATATGACTTGATTTATTTGTTTAAAAGTCTTAACGAATCCTTACGCCCTTTCTCCTTTTTATAGAAGTTAATTTTGATCAAGTAGTTATTAAAAAAAAACCCACCTCAAATTGTCTTTTGTTTTGGTTAAGAAAGTTCAAATTTTTCTGTCCCTATAGATCAGTATTTGGTATTTTACCATTTTATCACTTGTTTAAGACAACAATGGATTAACAGTGTATACTTGCGCTTGTCTCTGTTTGCTAATTGTCTGAGAGATTTATTTTATATAAATCTCTCAACAATAGCATATACTTTTCTCCCAAAACATAAGTTACAAAGTATGCGGGTTGCTTGTGTAGCCATTGCAAGTGGTTGTACTCATCACGAAAATATGTGATTTTCGATTAAATCTCCACCGAATTAAACGACCACATAACCCAATTGGTTTTTCCCATTTATCTCATCTATCTTGAGGGATTCAAAAACTTCCTTTTAACAACTCTCGACAAGTCATTGATATTCAACCTTTGTCATTTGAAAGGTTTGTAGTCGACTATCAGGCCGAAGTCGAATGGTAGGTAGCTCCTTAGTTTTTCCCATTGGAAATAGATAATATAGAAAGCATAGAGAGCATCGAAGGTGTAGATCTCAGTGTTGGGTATCACTTTCATCATGAAAATATATAGTTGAAAAAAACCAAGATACTTATCAAAAAGGGTGGCTGAATCTAAGCTTAGGACCATATCTAGAAGGATCCTGTTCACACTCAACACCTATTGCGTCTATGAAAGTATATACATTCCACTTTTGCAACTTGATATTCTACAATTCATAAGCAATAAGAGGTCATTAAAATGCCCATAGAAGATGCAACTAGAAAATATAATGCATTTGAAATTCACCAATCAATGGACATGCGTTCCCACTTGCAACTTCCCACACCAGGGAAGAGATATGAAAAGACTACCATCGCAACATTTATCGAAAATGGAACCAGATATAGAGTCCCTTATGTTCAACCTTATACAATTATGTTCTGTTTAGCCTCAACTTGGTTTAACTTTAGCCTCAAACTCAATCTCCCCTTCCGAACGTGGAATTCAAACTCGTAGCTACGTTCACCCCCACCGTACAAGAAACACATTTTTTTCTCCAATCTAATTCCCACACCCCCTGTTGCAAGTGCTCATGGAAAATAGAGGTAGAAAATATAGCAAAGTGAGCGGTTGTAGGGAAGTGGGTCACGAAGAGGGTGGTCATTGGTGGTTGCAAGGAAATGTTGGCAAGGATGTGTGTGTATATGTGTGATACCATATATGTGTATATATATGTGTGTGTGTGTGTATGTGTAGGGGAGGAGGGAGGGTAAAAACAAAAGTGTAGTTGTAGGTGTGTGTACCTTGTTGATGGTGGGAAAGTACACTTGGGAAAATACTAAAGCGAGAAAATAAGGATAAAAGAATAACTTTTTTTATTTTGTAATATAAAGTAAGAAAAATGAGTAAAAGGATTGAAATACCCCTCTAATAAATTGAGCTAATAGAATTTTTTTAACGAAGTTAGAAGTGGGGACCTAAGACGTGAAAATTGCAAACCATAAGGTTTTGTTTGTAATTATTTGATTTTAAGAACCCGCTTTATAATTTTGGATAAACAACAAGGACCAAACATGTAATTCACTTTTTTAATTCAATTTTTTTGATTCTTAAACGTTGTAACCTAATTTGTCACTTTTGCCATTGGGTTTTGGGGGGTAGAGGAAGAAAGGATCTTACTTTGGGTAAAGAACAATTTGGTACTAAAGAATAGCATAAGAATTAATGATGGAGGTCACTTTCGGAAAAGCAAAAATAAAGCCAAGGGCAATATGGTAAAAAAGCTGCATGTGCGAGAGAGGAAGCATCAGATGCTGTCAAGGCCGATCTTCTATATATACTCTCCGTCCCCCAAACGCAGTTTCTTCAAAGACCAACCCCCTTCCCATCCCTTGTTTCTTTCTTTGTATTTTCATCGTAGATTGAGTAGTAATGGCCGATCAGCTCACAGATGATCAGATCTCGGAGTTTAAGGAAGCTTTCAGCCTGTTCGATAAGGATGGAGATGGTCAGCTCCCTTTTCTTATTTGATTTCTTGTTTTTGTATCTATTTTCTGAGTCAACATACAGTTGGTTCATACCTTGTTAGTTAGATGAAGATCATCTCGTATTTTGAGATCTGTGTTTTCATTTCTGATGAGTGATTTTTAAATCAACTGATGTTTGACTTCAAAGTTTCTTTTGCATAGTTGAATTCATTCTGAACTATGTTGACTAGATTATGTGAGTTGGGAATCATTCTGATATCTACCCAATCAAAGATCGGTGCTTGTTCGTACTTTCCAAGCAACTTTTTGTATGTTCTGTTGCAATTCTGCTCTGGTCATTTTCATATATTCGTTTTCTTGGTTGTGTCCGTGAGGTGTTCGATGAAATGACGATGTGATCGTCGGTTACTAGATCGTTGTAGAAATGAAGGTAGCACCTAAAAAAGGGCATAGATGTATGGGAACTCTTAATATCATGATATTTAGTGCAGATGGAGTAACAGTAGAAAGTGAATAATGAAATTTCTTGTATTTCGTGTATCTGTTTATTGTTAGATCTGGTTGATTTCCAAGGATAATAAGCTTAGAACTTACTAGGAGGATTAAATTTAATTAAACCAAGTTGGTGCTTACAAAGGGTATAGCTTCAACCTTCAAATTTTCTTAAAGAATAGTTAGAACCTTGATGTGCATTTGATTATGGTTCACAAGATTCATGATTTCTGCAAGGAGAATGTGCTTAAGATCTGAAGTAAAACAAAATGGCCTATCGTTCTATTAAAGTTTTTTGAATCTGTTTGTAAAAGAGAGAGCAAAGAATCAAGATGCGTCTATTTTGCAGGTTGCATCACTACAAAGGAGCTTGGAACAGTTATGAGGTCACTTGGACAAAACCCCACGGAGGCTGAACTCCAGGATATGATCAACGAGGTCGACGCTGATGGAAACGGTACTATTGATTTCCCTGAGTTTCTTAATCTGATGGCCAGGAAGATGAAGGACACAGACTCTGAGGAGGAGCTCAAGGAGGCTTTTCGGGTTTTCGACAAGGACCAAAACGGTTTCATTTCTGCAGCTGAGCTTCGTCATGTTATGACAAATCTTGGTGAGAAGCTGACAGATGAGGAAGTGGATGAGATGATTCGTGAGGCTGATGTGGATGGCGATGGACAGATCAACTATGAGGAATTCGTCAAGATCATGATGGCCAAGTGAGGTCCTCCATCCTGAAACTAAACATAAAAAAAGAATCAAAAAATATTTCAAAAAATTAGCAAGGTTGTTAATTTTACTTTTGGGGGTAGGATTCATTTCATATCTTGAATGTTTCTTTGGGTGTTTTCGATTTATCCTGTTTGCATTTATATGTATCTCTGCTTGTTTGCTGATCTGTAGCCTTAATATTCTTCTTGCTTGCTGTTTTTGTCACAAACCTAGAACAAAATTTGATGATCTTCTCCTAATTAACTTGTTTGTGGTACATCTTTGATGTTCCTTGAAATCTATCTTTGCATCCATCCATGGTATTGTTATAGAATTGGGATAATCCTCATCCTCTCACTTTGCATGCTAGTTTTAGCATATATATGAGGTTTTAAAAATGGGTTATTTACCTTAGTGACCTTCTACATAACTGATTTTTAGGAGTTTAATCCTTTAGTGTATTTCTAAGTTGATACAAAGGTAGATTGTTGGAACACCAGAGGCATCATTGAGTTGAAAAGATAATAAAAGGTTATGTTCCTAACTGAAAACTCATATAACTAAATAATCCCTCTTAAAGTTTGATCCCTAAATAGCCTTCTTGTGTTGTATTTAGCATTTCTTGCAACTTTGGATCTGGTTCTTTGGCTCTTTATGAATATGGAAGGTTATTATTTTTATTTTGTTCTTTGCCAAAATATTCAACTCCCCACTACTTTGAACCATTTATTTGAAAGTAAAAATCTACCTGGCTAAGATCATACAACTACATGATTGGTCCTTAAAAGTGGTCTTTACAACTTGGTTTCAGACTATTCAAAAGTGTATCTGTTAAATTTGTCACTATTTTGTAGATACAGACTGTATATTGTTTTGAATCTTGTGTTAAAGTAGGATAACCCTTTTCACCAAACCTTTGATGAAGTTTAAACCATAGACCTTTCGGGAAGCCAAAGGCCTGAATATCGCTTGCTTTTAATTCTTCCCATCATTTTGTTACACAATTTGCATTTTAACAAATACATTTGTTAGTTCAAAGGACACCATAAGTTATCGTATTTAAAGTATCGATTTAACCTTAAAAGGTTAATGGTTTTCTTTTAGCAACACCCAAATCTGTTAATACTTGGTTGTATTTTTTATGTGCCTTGAGTTTTCGGTCTTCTTTGTAGTATTTGAATCAAATTTTCTCAAAACATTAGGCACTTGCTTACTTGAAATAGTTCAAAAATACTGATGGTTCGTTTAGTAAACTACCAATGCATGTCGATGTATGGTCTTCATTAATAAAATCAAGTAAACATAAACTAGGTTAGAAGTGGTAATAGCCGGTAGCCTCTAAGAAATTAAGTCGTTAAAATAACTCGAGTATTCTTTTTACGTAGAGTTAGATATTAGACTTTGATTATATAAATTTATGGGTCATTTACCAAGCGCTTACCGACAGTAGTCACTATTCTCACTTACCTTAACGAGTAACATTCTTGAACATAAAAAAAGGATTATCAATGAGCATCTTTTACACTAAAATCCTTACAGGGTAAGAGTATTCTCTCTCATTTACCAGGTAAGGTTTTTGGTTCTTGTTGTACCTCTTACTGGATAAGTAATAGTTTCGGTCTTTTTCATGCTCGTCTGATAAGGTAAGTGACACCCAATAAAAATTTACATCAGATAAACGACCTCTTAATTAACAAAATTCAAAATTCAAAATTCAGACACTACATGCCTTTTTGAAATTCTTTGGTTAAAAATTAGAAATGCAATTTTTTAAAGAATAAGGTGCCGTTTACCTAAATGCTTATCCGGTAAGTGCTTACCGATAAGCATTTAGGTACATCAAAACATATTGAATGCAACAAGTTACTGGGTAAGTGCTTACTTGGGTAAGAGTCGTCATCCTTACTTACCGGGTAAGACTCTATCATTTTCATTTCTCTTATTCAGTAAGATTCTTGGCCCTTCTCATGTTCCGATAAGAAAATTTACCCGATAAACACTTACCAAGTAACTGTTTAATAAACTGCCCCTAACCCTCAACTACCAAAATGTTTTGTCTATTAATTTATATTCCTTCTTTTATTCTCTAATTTACCTCTCTCTATTCCTTTGAAGGCAAAAAAAAAAAAAAAAAAACCTTGTTTATTAGATTCGATATGATTTCATATTATGATTCTTCTATTTTGAAATAAGCGTTTACATTTTAATTTATATTGTTTTGAATAAAATGTCCAATTTTAAAAATAGATAAGTAAATTTCTGAATTTATTTTTTAACTGATGCACATATATTTATGATTTGATAAAAAAGGATATATTAATTAAGGATTCGTTATCATTTATTTAATTAATAAGTGTAATAATTATTCATGTCTAAAACTATGTATTATTTATATAATAAATATTTATTTTAAGACAGAGAGAATATTTCAAAAAAAAAAACCATATCTTTTTATTTACAACTATATAAAATTAATTCAATAATGAAATGATAAAATTCACTTTGATTTACAAATTTTACATCAAAAAACGGAACACTTTTTTTGTATTTTTTAGGTTTCGTTCCTTGTCACCAATTTTCTATGCTTTTTCCTTGCAAGTTTTTATTTAAAAAATGATTTATGTATAAGTCTGGTATATATCAAACTTTCCCTTTTCGGAAGGCCAATGAGGCCCATCCTTAAAGACATGTTAGATTGAACAAGACATAACTAGATAAACGAAAATGAGATAGATTACGTGAAAGAATTACAAGGTTTCAGGGTTTTAATTTGACAAAGATAATTTAGTAATATACTAATTTCGCCACATCTTCATATTTTTTGTTCCATCTATTTTGGTGAAAGTTTTCGTCCGATTCTGTGTACCAAACACATCCTAAGAGAATATCCATCTTTAATTGTTAGATATGAAGCTCGAGATCATTTTTGATCTCGTTAAAAGGTGGTTTCAGATGAACATCAGAACAAATTTATCGGTGTTTTGAAGGGAATTTTAATTAATTTAATAATACATAATTTTACTAATGAGACAAACTTGTGTTTCCAAATACAGAAGAGCAAAGGCTAGTAGAAAGCAGGGAAGCATGCAATCAAGATCCAAGTCCTCAAGCTCAAAGAGTGGTTGGAGAAGAGCCCGTGGGGGTTGTTTCATCCTCTAAAACGCCATCATACGTTTTGTGAAATAAATTTTTATTAAATCCCAAAATCATTATGCCGTTTTACTTCGTATTGGCATTTTAGAATGCATACGTTGTAACAGAAAAGAGGAAAAATATTAAAATATATGTATTTTTCAGGTACCAAAATGAGTATGTGGTCTTTTTATTTGCCTGTTCATTGAAATGTATAAGTTTCGAAATTTCGGTTTGAATGCATTGAATACAATCTTTAAATTCCAAACACAATTATAATGAAATTTGAACTTTGGATCATAATCTGTAACTTAAAACTTGTTAAATGGACATTGATCTCAAAGAACAACGAGAAAATATTTGAGTTCATACACTATTTTGAAAGAAATGATTTAAGCTCGAACCTGATATAATTTTCTTGAGTTGAAGCCGAACAACTTACTACTCGATTCGACTCGTTAATCCCCCTAGTTATGTCATCAAACCCACATGCCACATCAGTTATAACAATTCTGATTCTTAAAACCCACATGCCACATCAGTTATAACAATCAACATTTTCTCTCTCAATAATAACAGTTTTGTCTCGAAAGTTAGCATAATCTCTCTTTTACCTCTTGTTGGTCCCAAAAGGGTTCTACAAAAGTAAACAGTTTGTAAAAGGGGATAAATACAAACACAAATCTTCAATTTTTAAATTCGTTTATTGATTAAAAAGAACCAATATGAGAATTTACAAATTGTTGGGGAAATAGATAAGAAAGAGTCCTAGTTTAAACAACCTATGAGAATCACTAAGCTTGAATTGCTCTGAGAGAAATAAGAAAGAACAAAGATAGAAGAGTGATGAAAGCGTAGCTGAGAGGGAGGGTCTTTCAGCTATTTATACACACTACATTATATACACCTCAGAAGGTATAATCCACATGCCAAGAATGGAGTGGAATGCATGTCCTTCTCCATCAAGTATGGCAAGCTTTTATCTGCATATGAACAGTTGCTTCAGGTAGTTGGTGAGCACGTTTGGAGACAATAAAGTAATTTGTAACGTACTAGACTGGTAGAAGCAAGGGCTATGTACTTCTTTGCAAGATGATATGACAAAAAAAATCTTGATGCGCAAGATATTTATCCAACTATAGAGATGAGTCGCGGAGAATTGCTTCATGTATCGCTGATATCTTGGTCAGATTTCAAATTTGATGTAGATAGTCATGGTATCACTGAATGCCACTTTTGATCACGAGTAGTTTATCTTTGTCTTCAGCTTTATCTTCGATATCACTGAATCTTCATTGATGTGAGTTTGTCTTTAAGGAAACTTAAGTACTAATACATTTACAAAGAGATGTTCAATGATCACTGGACAAATTCAGATACGATGTGATCACTAAAACAACACACAAGGTAGAACTAAGTATTTCACTAAGTATAGTATCATCATCAAATCACTGAGAGAGTTTGAATCAACAATCTTCCCTTATTTGATGATAACAAAGGTATATAAAGAAAATTGCTAAGTTAAACAGAAAGGGAAGAACTTCTAAAATACTTGTCCCATTTGCTATTTTGAGGGATCTTTTCAAAACTTTGATGGAGGAAAAGTATTTCATTGAAATTTCATTAAGTGTAAAAGAAATTACAAGTAAAAAAAAATAGAAATTACAATATCTGAAAGTACAATAACTGAAAGATATTTTAGCTAATAATTCAAAGATAAGAAAACAAAATGCATCTGTCAGTTAAGATCATCAAAAGTGACGTAGTTGGGAATTCCAACTCCTTAATCTCTTCTCTTCAGCAGCTCCCTTCAAATTTTTATATGGACTAACCAGGGAGAGGTGAGACATCACAATAAGTGAGGAGAAAGATCAGATGGTTTTCATGTGGAAGATGAAGCTCTGAGCATCGCTGAAATCTAAGATCCTCATTCATATCTTTGAAGAAGATTCCATGTATTGGTTTGAAGACAACATTACCTGGAATCTGAGCACCTTTGATAGGGAGGGTTAGGTACAACATGCAGAGATCTGGAGAGTAGTTGGAAAGAACTTTATCGAGTGAGAACTTGGTTTAATGCTCGTTCTTAAGAGGTAGGCTATTATCATCAGCATTTCGTCCCTTACGAGTCATCCTCAATGGTAAGCAAGGAACAACTACTACCTTTGATATTCTTTATAAGAGTTTATTTAACTCCTATTCAACAATGTATTTTTACCTAGACTTTTGAATCCTTCTTCACCTTCTCCTTCTTCTCCTTCTCCTTCTCCTCCTTCTCCTTCTCCTCCTCCTCCTCCTCCTTCTCCTTCTCCTTCTCCTTCTCCTTCTCCTTCTCC